TATGTGAGACATTATGCATCGTGTCCAATATGCTTCGGGTATAGGATCGATTGCATATGCTATAATATTTGGCCATTCTAAAATTTTCCAAATGCCTAGGGCATTAAGAGGGAAAAAGGTCTAGAATCGGTTTTGACTAAAATAATTAAACAACTATCAAAGGACGATCCGAGGTTCACTGAGGATTTGTCGCTTGTGAGTAGTTGGAAGTATAGTACTGGATGGACTATATTGACATTATTATGAATAGATAAGATTCTATTAAGAATGAGTTGTCATATGGCAAATATGGAAATGTTTCCATTAATGGGAGTTGATATTAAAATATGTCTAGATTAGAAACTTTTATGCGAGAAGGATGTTCAAAGGAATGTACTTTGAATGTGAGACTTCACGTCTATGGAATTGTCTTGTAACAATTTCCGATAGAATACCTTGTAATTTCATTAGCCGGGTCTTGGTGACTTTTGTGCTGTGACATTACGAAAGAATCATTGCATAAAATGTTAGAATCTGACATATTCTAAAAGTGGCAAGAATTTGGTATTCTTATACTAATAATAAGGATTGGGGATTGTGAAATGAGTTTCATTGGAAAAGTTTTTCAATTGATCTATTTCACAAAGTATGGACCAAAGGAAACCAAAGTGTGGATGCTTGGAGGATGGGACAATTGTGGTTATAATTCGAGTAATAAGTTGATTTTCTGAAACAGTAAGCAATGAATAATGAGTAATCAATATGGTGTTTAAATAAAAGTGTTTTTATTTACGCTCAAAAGTTTTGGGGCCATATAGGATTAATATTATTATTGCGTTTCACTTTGCATGTTTTGACTTCCAGAATAACTGGGTTATTCGAACCTCCACAGTCGGTCATACGTTGGAAGTAGGTATGAAGGAAGACTGTCATGAATCTGTCTGCAGATTTTCTAAAGTGTTTAGACATAGCACAAGTTTGCTGCAGAGTTCATGAGTGCTTTGGTAAGATTAAAGTATTGGATTAAACCCACGCTCACTTGAATCACTTCATGGTTTTATCACGAGTGATTAGTGAGACGATAACATTGTATATTCTTGAAACCAAGACGTGTGAGTTGTTACTTGCTGCTCGGTTGCACATTGATAATAAGTAAACGTACCAGTAACTTGGTGTTATAAAACTTATTATTGTGTATGATTCGATTAGTAGGTGCAAGAAAGCATTTGAGTCGAAGTTTATCCGTTCCTTTTACCCAAAGTGGGATAAAAGCGATATCTGTGGGCCCCTCGATGATTTAGTGATGACACCTAAGCGCTTGGCCAAGCCGGGACTAAGTTGATGTGTTCAATTGTAGTCTGTTGTCAGTCGTCATGAATCGGAAGTCGGGAAATAATACATAGACAGAGAGAATGATTTAAATCCATGTCTTCTGTCTATACGATATCTTGTAGAATGGAGGAATATATAATCCCTTATCTAAAGGACACGCGTATCTGATAAGATTAGAGTTGACAGCGGCTTTTGAAAGCTACGATTGCTGATCAGGTTCTGAAGTTATGCAAAATAGTTATTAGACTTATCCAAGTGGGAGACTGTTGGATTAGTGTCTAAGTCCATAACTATTTTGGTATGTACTTGACCCGATTATGAGCATGGTCCTTTTGGGTTGCCTTCACCATAGCAATATGTAGGATGAATTAAGGAGAGAAAGGTTTAATTATGATTTAATTAATATATTATAAGAATAATATATTAAAGGAGAAATCATATTGTTTAATTAATAGTAGTCAATAATTAATTCTGTGGCTAAAATAGATTAATTAAACTTAGGGGACTGGAATTGTAATTATAGGATATTTGCAATTGGGCTATGGATCACCTTGGAATAATAGGTTGGACGAATTCTATGGGGAAGCCCATTAGAAATCGTCCAAGGCATGTTCCAGAAGGGGCCCATGGGCTGCTTAGGGCTTAAGCAGTCAAATTAGGGTTTCCTTGTTGGATAACCCTAATAGCCTAAGTATATAAGGAACCCTTGGGCACCAAAAACGTGGCTAACACTGGGATTAGGGTTTCCAGTCGTTTTTGGTGCCTCCCCTTTCTTCTCTCCTTCATCTAATTGCTTAGTGGTGTTTGTGACTCCATTAGAGGTGCAACACTTGAGGCACTAAGCTTTCTGAAGCCAATCAAAGCAAGGAATTGATTGTTATTACTATATAACAATCAAAGGTAATTACTAAACCCTTATTTCAGTTCTTATATGATAGATCTAGGGTTTATAGCTTTGGATGTTCAATTGCATGTTCATTAGACAAACTAGATCCAAAAGCTATTAGGGTTTGCATGTACACCATAGGAATGATGTATTGCTCGAAACCCATCAGTACCTGCATGTACGCCCGACGTACTCCCCTGTTAAGTCACTTTTCCCATTAAGTGCTTAATACTCTAATGCAGAAGCTACAATCACAGATCCAAGTCCTTTTCAACGTCCTAATCCATAAAGTCGATCACTTGGTGGCTTGCAACCCACCAAATGAGCCCAAACACAGAACAATAGCAACTAACTCCATAGAAATGGCTAGATCTCATGCATGGTTCCATAAAAGCCTCAAAGATTGAAACTTTACTGCTAAAGGAATGCTTTGAGCTCCAAGGGTGGCAACCCTAAGCTCAAAAACGAAGTTGCATGAAAAGATCCATCCTTTGGACCTAAAAAGGTCCAAAGTTCCATAATCCTAGATCTAAGCTTCTAAGAGGAAACTTAGAAGCTTTATACCTCCTTTGAGTTCCAAAAGATGAAATAGTTCCAGATCCTTGAGCTCAAGATACTCAAGTTCTTCTTCTCCAACTCCTCTTCACTTCTTCCAAGCTTTTCTTCACCAAAAATAAGCTCAAGAGGTCAAACACACACAACAATGGAGTATGAGGGCGTATTAGGGTTTTATGAGGGTGAGGGGCTAGTAAGGAGGCCAGGGTTTCTGTTATAATGTTCCTTATATAGTGCTTAGCCCCCAAAATTAGGGTTTAGGACCTCTGAGAGTACTCTGGGCGTACTTCTCGTACGCTGGGCGTACTCCTCCCACACCCGCGTCCACTTAATTCGCTATGCTGGGTGTACTCTCGCGCATACTACCTTACATGCATGGTCCTTTCTTGCCATCTTTCTCTATTAGGGACCAATAATGTCAATAACTTCAAAGTGCTATTAAGTCCGTTTCTGACGAATTTTATATCCACGAAAAGGTGGCGGGAAACCCTACGCTCTTAGTAATGCCCCCAAACCTAAAACCTTACGAATAAACCCGAGACTCATAAAATACCGAATCGCCCCCACCCTTTGGCCTCCGAGACTACAACCGAGTACTCTCAAAACTGGGTGTTACACATTTGATATGTTTTCCTCGCGATCATGTACTTTAAGCCAATATATCATTTAAAAAGTGACTACATCTATACATTTCATTTATAGCAAAACTTGAATCCTTAACTTTTGGCTGATGTGACATATATCCGTCAATTTCTAATACCGTTATGCCAAAGACTCTTTGGTCTTAAATCTTTTTCTTTGTTTCTTTATTGATTGCATGGGGGGCGTTGGGGGGGGGGGGAAGTGGGCAGGTGTACATGGCCTAATTTTTTTATTTATATATTTTTATTTAAAAATAACAAGTTATAATAACGATAAGGACCCCTTTTATATTCTTGTTCGTCCTGGGCCTTTGAGTATATTTAATTCCTCACGATCGACCCTAACTGATTGAACATTTATATTTTATTTGCTTTATTTAAAAATATATAACTATTAATGTCTATAAACAAAAGGGAAAATGACTCTTTAGGGTAACTAACTGTTGCGTTTGTTTTCATTTGGTCTCTTTCCTTTTTTTTTGTACTCAATATACCATCGAACTTGTTGTTTGTATTCATCATAACCCTTTTGACCGAATTTTGACCTGTGATAGTCGGTCAAAGGGTTATGGTGAACACAAACAACAAGTTCGATGGTATATTGAGTATATAAAAAAGGAAATGGACCAAATGAGAACAAATGCAACAGTTGGTTACCCTCCTGATTCATTTTCCCTTTACTCATTTACAACAAATCCCACGTCATCTCCTGCTGATATTAATGACTTTATGAGATTCATTCTTGCTTCTCTTCAAAACATAACCCACGAAATAACATTATTCATACATGTACAACTTTGTAATGCACTTGAATACTTATTAGGGGAATCTTGACTAAGCAGGTGCATTTCATGACTACATTTACATTTCCAGTCAAATGATTTATCGTATCATGGATTCTAGACAAGTCTACAAACGAGTGGAATCACAAGTGTTGTGATTTTTTAGTTTACTTAGCTTTAAGATCAAATTCATGGGATAAGATACAACATCAATATGTACAATATCATGCAGCTTTTGCAGACACATAATATACCTTGTGGTAAACGTTTATGCTGATAAATATACCTCTCATCCACAGTCATACCCTTTTGCAGAGAGGCGTTGACAACTAACTACAGTAAGAATAACATAGACCATGTTTTAACGAAGTTACCCATTCGAAACGCTTTTCATATACGTTATGGCCAAAGAAGGTTGTAGTTTTTGATAATTTTGCAACTTTAATTTCATTTAACTTTTCGGGGAAAATGACTCAAGAGGGTAACCACCTGTTGAGTTTGTTCTCATTTGGTCCATTTCCTTTTTTTTATACTCAATATACCATCGAACTTGTTGTTTGTGTTCACCATAACTCTTTGACCGACTATCAGGGGTCAAAAGCCGGTAAAAAAGGTTATGGTGAACACAAACAACAAATTCGTTGGTATATTGAGTACAAAAAAAAGAAAATGGACCAAATGAAAACAAACGCAACAGTTATTTATCCTAAAGAGTCATTTTCAAAAAAATAAAAAAAATAAAAAATAAAATAAATAAATCGAATCACCACATAATAAAGCTCGGAGAACCGAGAACTAAAGAACTATCAATAAAGTACATTATGTCCAATTGTATTTTCTTTTTCTTTTCTGTGGGAAAAAAGTGTGATGTGGAAGGAACTTTTCCCCCCAATTGAAGGAATAAGGGAGGGGAGAAAGCTAAATAAATTAATGAAATCAAAAGGAGAAGAAAAAGACAGCCCCCTCGCCACTGGCACCGCACTCTTGACTCTACACAACCATTTCCACACACACACACACTCAAGAAAGAGAGCCAGCAAATGCGTTGAATTTTGCTTGATTCCTGTTGAAATCTGGAAAACTTTTGAGGTGATAACTCTTTCTATTATCTTTCCTTTTCACATCTATCATAATGCTTGCAGTGAATCTTATTCAAGTTTTATGTTTATGGCAACTAAATCATTACGTTTCTCGATCTTTTCGTCTAAATCTTGTGAAATCTTTAACTCTCTTGTGTGTGAACTAAAAAGTAGACTTAATGAAATCACATTATTCACTGGAATCATAGAACAATAATGTTAATCAAAAGTAAAATTTGGAAATTCATTCTATTCAATCTCTTTCCCAATATCCTATGGTTTCACGATCAGCGGAAATATCTTTACCTTTGGCATTCACGTTGTGAATGCGCACACACATTTAGAAAAATCTCATCGTCCAGAGGCTTTTCCCGACTCGGCGAAGTGGGTTTATAAGCTAAAATTTAGTCTTTCGTTTTAGATTCGGTGAATTTTTTAGTCCGACCTTCTTAATTTTAGGTATCGAGATATTTGACGAGGGAGAAATCGAGGGAAAAAGCCATTTTCAGTGTAGATTTTGGGATTGAAACCTGGTAAGTATCTTTTAACTTTATTGAATTTCCTTGTTTCCTGTAATGTTCAACATTAAAGCTTACTACTATTTGATCTGAAAACTCAAACTGTAAAATTGGTTAATGGTTTCTTCACTGATGTTAGGTCTAATGGGTCCCAATGTCCCTTATGCACCTTCTATGCCAGAAACTGTTCAAGATCTTGAGAAGCCTGTTCGCCTTCCTGCATTCCATACAAGGTAGCTAATAGCATTTGCAATTCTAGCTTTTTGTGTACATACTTCCTACTTAACTTTACCATAGTTAACTTAACATATATAGTTTTATACAAATATTATACACCATGAACTGATTTCAGTGAGCTAGGACCATGGTGTGCTATTATCTCCTATGAAGCATGTGTTCGTCTCTGTCTAAAAAATTGGTCCATAGGAAGCCCTGAAGCTGTTTCCTTCTTAAAAAATGAATGTTCCCTCCTTCGATCCGCTTTCTGGTAATCTTTTTTACTTTGGATACTAATATATATATATATATATATATATATATATATATATATATAGTTATATACCAATGTAATTAAAGAAATTTACAAGAATGTTCTCTGTGTCATAGTTTGGAACAATATCTATTACAACCAGAAGAAGAGTTATTGAGCAAAAAATGTTCCGAATTAGTTGTTACAGGAGTTCCTAAAAAACCCCAAAAAACCTTTGGAAAGTTGAAAGTTCAAGGTAACTTTGAAGTTTGATCTTCATATATCATCAAGAATTTCATGTTTCCTATAAAAACTGTTGTGAATTTGTGATGCAGTGAGAAAGGTTAAAATGGTGTTGGATCCACCAAATGGTTGCACTTTTTCCTCAATTAAAAAACCTCCATTGATGAAATTACAAAAAATTAATCGGCGTTTATCCTCCACAAAATCAACAATACATTCAGAATGGGAAGCAATAAGAAGAGTTCGTGTGACACCAAATTTTTCTACAAATGGATCACTTTCACATCAAAGTCTTGCTTATTTACACTTTGGAACACAGTATTTAAAAGATATATCAGGTCTCTTAAAAGTAGGCATAACAAGTTTGCATAATTCTCCAACACCTCCTGAAGCACCTGAAGGTATGTTAAATCTTAAATTCTTAATACCCTTTTTCATTTTCATAAATAGTTATCAAATTATATATATATTTTTTGATAAAATGCAGAAACATACGTATGTTCTTTGAGATTAAAAAGTTCATCTGATGCTGATGTGACACGTATGCAGCCAGGAAGTAGTGAAACTCATGTATTGTGTGTGCATTCTCCCTCTCTTTTTTCCTTCTACATAAAAAGTTGAATGATTTTTTAAATTACATTTAATAATTTTTAAATGCAGCTTGCCAGATGGCATGAGAGATGATTTGCTTATTGAAGTTACTGATTCAAAAGGAAAGTATTGTGGACATGTCAAAGCACAGATAGCAGACATAACTGATGATGTGGTATGTATATTTGAATATAATTTTGAGTTTTTTACTATATATATAATATTTTTATAAAAGTCTGAAAAAAAGTAAGATAATTACAGGGAGATAAGCTTAGATGGTGGCCAATATACCATGAACCTGAACATGAACTTGTTGGAAGAATACAATTACACATGCAGTATTCAACTACTACAGATGAGAATAACAATGTTAAGGTAAAAAAATATTGTAAATTATAAATTTATAAGAAGTTTCTAATAATATGTATCAAAATTTGTTTCTCTAGTGTGGAATTGTGGCTGAAACTATAGCATATGACTCAGTGTTAGAAGCAGCAATGAAAGTTCAAAATTTTCAACAAAGAAAGCTTCTACTTCATGGATCATGGAAGTGGTTGGTGACTGAATTTGCTTCTTACTATGGAGTTTCTGATGCATATACAAAACTAAGGTGTCTTCAAAATCAAAATATTGAAACTCATCTTTTATTTATTTAATTTTTCTAATGTATATTGGTTTTCCAGATATCTTTCATATGTTATGGATGTTGCTACACCAACTGCAGATTGTTTAAATGTGGTGTATGACTTATTGTCTCCAGTAATCAAGAAAGGGAAAATGAATGGGACTTTGAGTGTTCAAGAGGTTAGAAACTTAGAATCATTCATTCATGTTTATTAATTATCAATTGATTAATATCTTTATGATTGATTTTAAATTTAATAACTTATTGATCAGAATCGGATGTTGGTGTCACTTTCTGATGAAATTGAAGAAAAAATTGCTTTAGTTTTTGAAAACTATAAATCACTGGATGAACATTCATCATCAGGATTAACAGAATCACCTAAATCTTCATCTGGATTCATATCTCCTGCTTTAAAACCTGCTTTAAAACTCTACACCCTTTTGCATGACATCAAATCTCCAGAATCCCAATTGCAGTTATGTAAATATTTTCAGGTATTACTATTTACAATTCACAACATTTTTATCATTTTCCTTCTTTACCCTCCATATTATTTATCTAAAACATTCTATGATTCTAAATTTCTAATCATTCCAGACTGCTGTAAGAAAGATTTTAGCAAGACACCTGGCAGAAACAAACGAATTTGTCTCCACTACAACTGAAAAGTCAACAGTTGACCAGATTGCTTACTCATCTGCTTATCAGAAAATGAAGTCTCTTTGTTTAAATTTCAGAAATGAAATTGCAAGTGACATAAAAATAAATAATCAGCATGTGCTTCCAAGGTAAAGCAATATCTACATGATACTAAATTTGATTATTATTATTATTATTATTTTATTACTGGTTATTGATTATCTTCTTTTTTAAATAGTTTTGTAGACCTTCCGAATCTTTCTTCAGCTCTTTATAGCACAGAGCTTTGCAATAGAATGCGTGCATTTCTTGTTGCATGTCCACCCATTAGCCTCTCGCCACCTGTCACAGACTTAATTATCACAACTTGTGATTTTCAGAGAGATCTTGATTCCTGGAATATTAGGTAAATGCTCTTTCTCTAATTCTCTCTTATCTTATAAATTACAAATTTGACCACTGACTTTTTTCGGTTTTGGTCCCTAATTTTCTACTTTTATAATGATTTTCGTACATAAATCCTTAAATATCTAACTACCCTGCTGTTAATATTTTAAAATGACCATTTTGCCCTTGGCCCAAAACTTAAAAAAAAAACTATGTAATTTTCTAACTACCCTGCTGTTAATATTTTAAAATGACCATTTTGCCCTTGGCCCAAAACTTAAAAAAAAAACTATGTAATTTTGGTTTGAACATAGCGATATTAATATCAAACAGATCCTTGTAGGGACCAAAACCGAAAAAAGTCTGCTAAACTCAGGGACCAAAGTTGTAGTTTAGTCTAAATTCTTGGATGTGAGTTTTTATTAATGTTTAATAATTAATTAAATTGCAGTTTTGTGAAAGGTGGTGTTGATGCCAAAGAGATGTTCCATGTTTATATAACACGTAGGATTCATGACAAACACCTTGAATTACTTGAATCCTGCAAACTTGATAAGGTGCATTTTTCTTTTAGTTTTTTTTTTTTTTTTTTTTCAAAGTAAAATAATATAATAAGCACTGTTTGATTGTTATTTGTTAATGTTACAGGGTGTTGTAGCACAAAATTCAACATCTGTTTTTGTTGATGATATGTATGAGAAACTTAAAGAGACATTGGTTGAATTTCAAGTTATTGTTTCTCGTTGGCCTCAATATACTTTGCTTTTGGAGAAGGTATTATTTATTTTTATTTTTATTTTTATGCCATGCATTCTACTTTCATTTCTTGATTCTTTCTATCACATTACTAGGTAATAGCAGATGCTGAAAGGGTAATTATGGAAACTCTGGAGAAACAATATAGTGAAATTTTATCTGCATTGAAGGAAAACACAATCCCAGTTAAAGCAGTACAATATGTTCAAAGAATCGCAAAAGGAAATTCATTGCCTTATACTTTCCCTGAAGAGGTAATAAATCTACAAACAATAAAATAGAAACAATATATAACAATTTGTTCTATTCTTTTTGCAGTTAGGAAGTCTTTTTAATTTGATAAAGAAGATGCTGGATGTGCTACAACCAGAAATAGAAAGGCAGTTTAAATCAAGGCATGTGTGTGTTTCAGTTTCAGAGAGTGAAAATGCAGCTCCAGGAGAACTTCTGAGTGAAGTAACTGTAATGCTGAAAACTAAATTTAGAAACTATCAGCAATCAGCTATTGAGAAACTTGCTGGAAATGTGAGGATACCAAATTTAGAAACTTCTTTCCTTTTTTTTTTGTGTGTCTTGTTTATGACTTAATGTATACAGACAAGGTTGCAAAATGGAACAAACCTGAAGAAGGTAATCCAAGAAGCAAAAGAGAGTGTTGGTGAATCGGAAATAAGAAGCAGAATGCAGCCTTTAAAGGATGTGTTGATAAAGATAATAAGTGATCTCCATGGTTTTCTTGACTTTAATGTCTTTACACTCTTTTGTAGAGCTTTATGGGATCGAATGGGACAGGTGTCATATCCATATCCATCAACTCATGACTCATCCTAATCTATAAATATTTTTCTGATTATTTAATGTTGTTATTATGAAACAGGATGTGCTGAGGGTGTTGGAGAAAAGGAAAGAGAATTGGTCTTATAAAGCCTCACGAGTTGCACTCTTGGTATGTAAAAACTCTTTCTTTTAACAATTTTTATCAATGATATTATATTTATTTGTTTATGTATTTATATGGGTAGGTTTTGAATGAAACATTTGCATCGGAAATGCAATCATTGGTGGGATACATGCTGACAGATAAAGATGTGGAGCCACCCACATCAATAAAAGAAGTGCAATCCATGTTATGTAAAGATTCATGAAATGAAATACACATTTGTAGTACTAGTAGTAGTTTGTATAGGAACTTCTTCAACAACTACATTATCTTTTCAAAACAGGCTTTATGAAGAGATATATAAGACTCCAACATATGTAGATGTAGTTATGACAGTGTTTAGCTGATGTGAGACGTATGACTCGTGAATTTTTTTTTTGAAAAGAGTAGTTTGTTTTGAGGGTTATTTTGATTTGATTGTTTTTTAGTGGGAAAATCAACTTGTAAGTTTTAGTTTATTGATTTTGTTATCAACTTATTTCTTTAGAGTTTATGAGGAATTTGAAAGGAAGAGAGGGAAGGTGGTTTTGGGGGGGAGTAAAATCTAAAATGTTGATTTCAGTTGGTTATGTTTATAAATTTGTATATTCTAAGCCATAGGGCTAAGGTTAATATTTTTTCTACAATGATTGTAACACTCGTAGCTAAAGGTCTTTATAGGATGATATAATGAATATGGAAATATTAGCATGTAGTGTTGTTTCGTCGATATATGATCATGCACGAGTCATTGTTAAGTTTTACTGGATTTAGTATTTGAGTGGCAATACTATAACTTAGCCTAATGATTGAAGAAGAATCAAAGAAGATATAGTTGTTAAAATCTTGATTTTGATTTTAGGATTTTAAGCTACTACAAACGAGAACATATTAGGAGCGAGTATGAAACAAGATATGTACTAGAATCAAATACTAATCAGGATTGTAAGATTTTATCTGGATTTGATCCCATATTTTTAGTATTTATTTTATAGTAAAGTCTTTAGTCTTATAAATCATATGAAATTCGTCATTTCTCATATAAAAACTCATGTTGGATGAAATCAAGCCTCAAATGTTCATCCATTCAACATGAAATCAAGCATTACAGATGACATGAAACATCATAAAACATCACAGTTTCATACATTCATCACAAATTAGCAAAACATCACGACATACAAGATAGTCTCTATTCGATATTGTGTCATTAGTTGTACATGGCAACGATGATCTTTTCTTTTTTTTTTTTTTTTTTTTTTTTCTAGCTTATTATGTTTCTATTTAACTGTCGTATTTTGCATTTGCAAGAATTGTAATCATTATTTAAGAAATTAAAATTGATTTCAGTATCAATCAATGTTAAAATCAACACTTTTATAGTGGGTACTATACAAAACAAAACTTTGCAAGCAAATTTAGAGACTAATTTATTTTGATAGAATTATCCGATCCCAGTTTGATCTTACAATCACAATTTTGCAAAGCGTAAAACGGTTTTAGGTAAAATCCCGGCCATGATAATTATGAGAGAAATAAAATTAAAAAATAAAAAATATCAGTTTCAAGATACATATTTAGAGAAAATGATTATTTTCGTTATAATAGAATAACATTAAAACTCGAGTATACAAACATCATATAAAAAGTTTGATTAATTAGTAGATGGAGCAACTATAAAGTTGGGTAATAGCACAAAAGACACTACGTTTACACGAAAATTCTAATTTGAGACTGTGTTATTTTTTGTCTCAAATTTGACATTGTGTTTTCTAATTTGTTAAAATTCTAACCATTTGACCGGTCAACCCGGTTACTTGCTGACGTGACATGATGACTTGTCAGTTTTGATGACGTGACATGCAGACGTGTCAAAATTGAATTTTTTCCCATAAAAGACACTTAGTTTTTAATTTTTTTCGATTTTGACACTAAGTTTATTTTTTTTTTTCAATTTTGACACTTTATTTTTTTTTCCAAATCGAACATTATTTTTTTCAATTTTGTTCAATGCTAATCATTTTCCATTTGAAACCGTATAAATATTTTTTTTATTACATTTTAAACCATATAAATATATTTTTTTTTCATTTAAAAGTCATATTTTTTACATTCAAAGCATATGTTTTATAAATATTTTTAGTTATATATTGAGAGCCGAACTAACCATAAACTTCGAATGAGAATAACAAAATTTTATCAATTATCACTTATGAAATATTATTTATTTTATTTTTTGTTGTAGATTTTACACATATTTTTATTTACGATTAAATAATTATAAGGTTTCAAATAAAAAATGATCGACATTGAAAAAATTGGAAAAAATGATTTTCGATTTGGAACAAAAAAAAGTGTCAAAATAAAAATAAAAAAAACTTAATGTCAAAAATCGAAAAAAAAATGAAAACTTAGTGTCTTTTGTGGAAAAAAATTCAATTTTGACACGTCAGCATGCTATGTTAGCACCCCACGTCATCAAAACTGACACGTCATCATGTCACGTCAGCAAGTAACCGGGTTGAACGGTTAAGTGGTCAGAATTGTAACAAATTAGAAAACACAGTGTCAAATTTAAGACAAAAAATAACACAATGTCAAATTAGAATTTTCGTGTAAACGTAGTATTTTTGTACTATTTACCCTATAAAGTTTGATTACTATTAGTGATGTCGTTTCAATAGTTTAATCCACATAATTTGCTTTAGGTTAATAAAATAAAAATATAAACGTCATAACAAAATTTAATTGATAATTAAGTACTAAAATCTCTTGATTATGTTTTAAATAACAAAAATTATCTCTTTATTATCTGTTGGAATTATATCCGAATAAGGTACTTGGATCTCTTGACAATTTAGTGATTTCATTCTTTTTGAAAAAAATCCTTCAATTATATCATTTGTGTTTTTTCCTTATACGATTCTAATTTTCAAGTTAGAGAGTTATTAGAGCAAATAAGTTTTTTTTTTCTTTTCTTTTCTGAAAGGTCAAATATTAATAAATTAATATTAGGAAATGTCTTTTATCTTTGGAATGATTTGCATTTTGAGTCGATAATATCAACAATTTATATTATTTCATTTTACTTCTGTATTATATTTAACCTTTAAACTTTGTTATTTTGAGTGTTTTTCGATCATTAATATTATAAAGTAAGGTCTTTTCATAATGGTCGTATGATAATCTTTAAAGTTTTATTCAACCTTTTATTTTTTTCATGTAAAACCCTCAATTTTTTCTTCTTCCAAAAAAAAAACCTTTACATGTTACATCTTTTTTCAGAAAAAAACTGCAAAAAAGGCTAAATCGGAAAAATAAAAAAATACAAAGTCTTTTTAAATTTTTTTTTTGAGGTTTAATCCGAAAAAAACATAATATATAAGGTCTTTTTATAATATTAACCCACAATATTTCATAAAAATATTGTAAATTAGTATATATATATATATATATATATATATACATATATATAATTGGTCGAATATTGAATAATGTTTAAGTTAATAACATTTTGTTAGATAAATTAATGTAAAGATAATATGGTAAATCAGAAAAAAAAGACATCATGTGTGATGATTAGATATACTCTTACAAAAACAAATATTAGACTTAATTATTAAAATCGTCCTTATGATTTGATCAAAATTACATATTTCGTCTTTACAATTTTTACATTCGGACCATCGATATATTATTTTTGTTGTTATTTCTGTGTCTCTGCTATACATGAAAAGAGTATATTTACCCTTTCTCATATTTTTTTAACTTTTTTTTTATTTTATTAAATAAAATTAATATTGTTTTATTTGTAGAATACTGAAATCGTACCGTCACCCCATACCCACCATTACAGTCAACCATCACTACTACTACCACTGCCATCGACGACGACGACCATCACCCCGTCCACCATCACTACAATATACCACCAAATCCTAAAATTGAAATATGAAAATTGAAACTAAATCCTAACCTTAAATTAAAAGCAAATCTTGAAATTATCAAACTAAAAGCAAATCTTGAAATTAAAACCTAAAGGAGGACATAAACGTTGGGTTTGATAATAGGAGGGAGAAGGTAGTTCGAGATCATCATTACAAACCCAAAACCAGTTTGCTAAACCTAATCAGAAATATGAAAATTGAAACTAAATCCTAACCTTAAATTAAAAGCAAATCTTGAAATTAAAATCTAAAGGAGGACAGAATCGTTGGGTTTGATAATAGGAAGGAGAAGGTGGTTCGAGATCATCATTACAAACCCAAAAACAGTTTGCTAAACCTAATCAGAAAAAACACAAACCCTAAATCGGAGTTCCCATGGTGGGTTTATTTCGAACGGAGAAAAGAGACGAAGTGGTGGCATCAACTTAGATGTATGAGTGAGGAATGATGACGATAATGTTAGGCTATTGACGATGGTAAAGGAAGAAGGCTGATGGAGACAATGATATTAGATTATTGGCGGTGGCAAAGGAAGAAGGCTGATGACGAAAGTGGTGTTAGGTTATCAACGATGGTGATGAAAGAAGGTTGATGGTTAATGGTAGTGGTGATCGTGGTTGTTGATGGCAATGGTGATGCTTGTTGTCGATGGCAATGGTGGTGGCAATGGTCGAAAGAAATGGACAAAAATAATATATATTTTTTCATATTTTATGGGAAGCAACAAAAAAATAACATAGACATAGTCCAAATACATAAAAAAAGAAAAAAAAAATCTAAAAACATAATTTTTAACTAAACCATAAGAAACCGATTTTAAGAATTTACTTTTATTATTTTATTTGAATTATATTATGATAAAGTATTATTCAAACTAGAATATTGTTCTAGGAGTATATAAAACAAGATTTTCATAATAAACAATTCAATAAAAATATATTATTATTTACTACATCTAATCACATACCATTATACCTTAGCCTGCAGGGAGTGGTGCCACAAAAACGACACTCACTCCTCTGCCACATAAACGTCATATAAGTATCATGTCAATTTATCACACAAAGCGTGGTTTTTTGCTATACACTAGGTGTGGTATACCAAAAAAGGAGGAAAGAGAGAAACAATTGAAGAGAGAAGATAGAGAGTAGGAGGAGTTCAACACTATTTGGGTGAAGAAAGAGAAAGTGTGGTTCGTACCGCAGGGATGAGACGGTGTTTTGGGTGATGATGTGGCGGAACCGTGAGTGAAACCACACTCACTCCCTCTGGTCTTATCGTATCCAAGTTCAACATACTTCATGATAAAAATAAGAATATATACACGTGCTTAAATGAAAAGTTTGGTAAATACTACTATATTTAAAAACAACCCAATAGCTATCTTCTCTGCATAATAATACACATCTACAAATACAATTAATATTTGAATTTATGATTACAAACTAATTATATTACTGGATTTTAAAATAACAATAATCTTTAGACATTTAAAAAATATATATATATAACTGGATTCTAAAATCACAAAAAAATAATTCAAAACCATTACATTTCTCAAATATAAAAGATAGTGGATAGTTTTCAAGATCAGAAATATGAAAATTAAAACTAAATCCTAACCTTAAATTAAAAGCAAATCTTGCAATTAAACCTAAAGGAGGACAGAATCGTTGGGTTTGATAATAGGAATGAGAAGGTGGTTCGAGATGATCATTACAAACCCAAAAACAGTTTGCTAAACCTAATCAGAAAAAACACAAACCTAAATCGAATGTCTCATGGTGGATTTATTTGAACAGAGAAAAGAAATGAAATGGTTGCATCGACGTAAATGGGTGAGTGAAGGATGATGACAATAGTGTTAGGTTATCGAGGGTGACAAAGGAAGAAAACTGATGGCGACAATAATGTTAGGTTATTGACGATGGCAAATTGGAAGAAGGCTGATGGTGAAAGTGGTGTTAGGTTATCGACAATGGTGATGGAAGAAGGTTGGTGGTAGTGGTGATGGTGGTTGTCGATGACAATAATGATGTTGTTGTCGATGGTAATGGTGGTGGTACTAGTCGGAAGCAATGGTTCACCGGTGTTCTATGTTCACCGTAAATACTAGAGATCATGAAGAAGAATTCAAGAGTCGGTTAGGATCAGAGAGGTGATGGTGAATGATGATAAGCATGATGGGAAGGATAAATGGACCCATTTTATTATTTAATATTATAACTAATTATAAAAGAATAAATTAATTTAGGGGACATCACACGTAATAAATCACACATGAACTGCCCGAGTGAAAAAGAACAAGGTCTACAAGCATAATTTTAACTAAACCATAAGAATTGATTTTAGTTATTTACTCTTTATTGTTTAATTTGTATTATATTGCTATGATAAAGTATTATTCAAAATACTATATTGTTATAGGAATAAATAAAACAAGATTTTCATAATAAACAACTCAATAAATATTATTATTATCTACTGCATCTAATCACATACCAATATACCATTATACCTTATCCTGTCCAAGTTCAACATACTTCATGATAAAAATAAGAAGATATACATGTGCTTAAAATGAAAAGTTTGCTAATTACTATATTTAAAAACAACCCAATAACAATCTTTGGTGCATAATAATATACATTTAAAAATACAATTAATATTTGAATTTAAGAGTACAAATACCTAAACAAACTAATTATAGATTTATATCACCGGATTTTAAAATAACAATAATATTACGATATTTAAAAAAAAATATCACTGGATTTTAAAATCACAAAAATAATAATTCAAAACCATTATATTTCTCAAATATAAAACATAATGGATGGTTTTCAAAATCATTTCTAAAATCCAGTAATTAAATTAAAAAACAAACCATAATATTATTTTGTTTAATAATCCTTGAGCAATTTTCTCACCTGTTCCAGTGTGACAAAGAGCACGATAGTAAATGGTCCCTGTCTTGATATCGTCGGAATGAAACCATTGTAAAGAGCCATCGGCCCTTCTGCTTTAATTGTTTTCAGGGCACAATCAACGGCGCCCGTATACGGCGGAGCTTTTCCGGCCACCACCTTCATATTCATCACTCGTGTCTTAATCACGTCCACCGGATTCGTCATAAGCGCCGCAACAAAACCTGCACCAAAGCTCGCCGTCACATGGGTTCCAAGCCCATCCTTCATCCAACCCCTGTTTATTATCGTCTCCTTCATCTGATCGTACGACGCCAGCTGCGACGCCGTCACCAGCATTGCTCGGTTCACCGTAAGGGATGATCCCCGCCATAGACTACCGATTCCTTCGTTTTTCACCATTCGTGATATCGCGTCGAATACGCTTTTGTAATTACGACGCTCTGCAGGGGGGACTCTTCCATCGGCTTGCATTCGTACCATTGCAACGTCGGCGGGGTTTCCGACAGCGGCGCCGATTCCTCCGGCGATAAGTCCGGCGGTTATCTTCTGCCATAGAGGTATGATCCCGGTGTTTGGATCGGTCCATTTGGTTTTCAGCATGTCGTAGAGGCCCATTCGGGTGGTGGAATATAGGGTCTGGCGGAGCATGGTGGCGGAGACGCCGGAGTAAAGCGCGCGGAAGCCGTCTTGTCGAATGATCCGCATTCCGACGGAAATGGGACCGACGCGTGGAGGGCGGGTGATTCCGCCTCTGCCGGTGGAGTGGTTTTCTCCTTGGAGCTGCATCCGGACTTTGATGAGATCAAGTGGGTGGGTGGAACATCCGGCGATTATTGATGCTATTCCACCTTCGACGAATGACTTGACTCCCATTGTTGATGGATTTTGGGTATAGAAGTGATTATGAGAAAGATTGGAATTGGGGAAAAGAGAAGAAGGTTTGATGGAAATGGAATCATGCTTTTGGGGGGAAACTTTTAAAGGGGTGGAGAAAGATACATGAGAATGGAAAGTTTAGAATTTTAGTAGCCATCATTCGCTTTCCTTTCTTTTATAAGGGCGATATTGCTTTACTTTTATACACCCAAACTCTTAAAAAAAATGTTATAAAGTATAAAAACTCAAATTATAATTTATAATTTTGACTTTGGTATTATATTTATGAGTTATTTGATATGTTTTTTCTACTAAAATTTCATAACCATGTTTTAGAAACTATTTGTTTGTGTTTAAGGTTCGAAACTAAGTTATTTTTTTGAACATATTGCAATTTAAAATTTGATGTAGGGTGTTTGCGATATGGTTTAGAGTCAAAATCACAGACCGCACCATATATGTGGTTTGGGTTTTTTGAAAACCGAAAACCACACCGCAAAGGTTGTAAACCACGTTATGTGGTGCCGTTTGATGATGACGGTTTTGTGCCGTTTAACGAATAACTTAATATATTACCAAAATCAAATTTTAGGTAACGATATAAAAGTTTGATCATAACACATGTCATTTTATTAAACTTATATTTGTAATTACAATATAACATTCTCTCATTTCTTTGTAATAATATTAAATGTATGTATAACAATAAGCTTCATGCAACGTATTTATAGATATTAATCTGCCGATGCAATATCTATTTGTAGAAATTATATGTATGATGAAGAGTAATGTAACTTTTATTAAGATATATAATTATAGGTGATTTTAAAAAACAAAATCATTAAGAATTATTACCATGATAATAGTAATCAAAATTATATTAATCATACAATAAAATCATAATGCTCTTGTGAACAGTGGCCGGTTTTGAGCCGATGGCTTCAATGGTTTGGCTCGGTTTCAATACCATCGTTGTTTCGGGCCGCTTTGGAATTGGAGCACCGTCTCTTCTCTCACATCTACTTCCCACCGCTTTATCGACTGTTGTTATCTTACTTCCTTCGATGATTTCATTCCCTTGTCGATTTCTTTTCTCTCTATCATCGTTGGAGAAGAACACCACCGCTATATTACATCATCGGGAATGAAGTCCTTCACCCTCTGCTCTACCATCGTTTTCATCGCCATCGTTGGCCAATCCGGCACGTCGGGCGAGGCAGCGACGACAAGTGAAGACGACGACCAGAGTTTAATCTTTGCAGTCATCTTCCATCGAACCACAACCTTCTATTTAGGACTCGATTTGTTCTGACAGCACGGAAACATTGAATAGGGTCGAATTCTCGATTTCATTGGTTTTTCCCCGATTTAGGATTCGACCTAAACAACACCGTCGATTTGTGCCTTGCAGGTTTGTATACAATCTTTTCTCCTCTTTTTTTTCATTATTCTAAGTTTAATTTTGCATTTGACCTAAATATTAGTGTTTTGTTCTTATTTTTTCCCACTTTGGATCGGTGATATCGCCTGAATAAAAGAGTTTGATCATGACAGTGGCGGTCCTGGGGTGTGCGAGTGGTGCGGTCGCATGGGGCCTCCGATTTTAAGGGGCCTCAAAATTTAGGGACAAATATATATTAATGGTGTTGGTATCTTCATAAAATACATTTGTATGTGTTATTATTAAAGAAAATTAGCAGTTAGGTATATACACAATGTTACAATGTAATATTTGGTTGCAATCTTGAAATAATTTTAATTGTGAAAAAAATCAACGAAAATAAAAAAAAATCAAAAATCTTATCACAATTTCTATAATTTATCAACAATTAAAAGGAAATATATTTATCAAAAATAATACATATACTATTTTAATATGAGTTCAAGCAAACGTTATAGATTTTTATAAAACGAGTCAAACAGATCAAACCTTAACAAACCTAACAATGGTGTCAGTAGATCGTCGATGTTACTCGCTTCTATCGCTAGAAACTACCATTTTGTTGTCTTTAATCTTGATATCTTGTTGATATCTCGTTAAAAACTAACCAACCGGGCTTGACTTCTTTCTCTCCCAGACTAAAACTTCGTTTTTTATTTCCATAATGAATTTAATAAATAATAAAGTAGAGAAAGTCTTAAACAATGTTCTTGGTTTTTCCTTTTGTATTGCATAATGTCTTATGAGTTGTGTTTATGACTCTATCAGTATGCTTTATTGTTTTATCTTTTTAATGTTGGTATAGAGGGCCATAGTAGAGCATTGGAGGATTTAAGGGCGGGGGTAAGGGAGGGGGGCAATGAGCTTCCCATTGTTTGGCTTCTAATGTTAATATAATATAGCCTAATACTTAGAAATATTAAAATAAAGTTTTTGTTTGATGCTCTAAATATTTTAAACATTAACTTTTTGATAAATATTACAAATATATATTGTTAAGTTATTACCATTGATTTTTTTAGTTAAAAAATATGTCTCTAACTAGAAACTTGGAATAGGGTTGTTCTAAACGTAAAAGAAAACAAAAAGAAGAGCAATTTATTCAAAGTCAAGGAGGATCTATCAATTGATTTGTCGTCAAACAAATGACAGAATACCATTGTAATGAAGAATCGGTTATGGAAGAACCTAGTGAAGAAGAAATTGAATTGTGTGTGCCATAAAACATGGATGAAGTTCATGAAGTTGTGGAAAAACCTAGAGAAGAAGTTCATGATATTGTGGAAGAACCTAGTAAAGAAGAAATTAAATTGCAAGTTCTAAAAGATATGTCTTGTGTAGATGAAGACATAGTCACCTTGAATGGTAATGTAATAACAAAGAATATATTACACTGAACATCTATGATCCTAGAGACTTGAACACTAATGAGTGAAGACATGAAATTGTGGTAGTAAATTTACGAGATGATTGTTAGCAAATTTGAGTTTTGAATTTAGTGTGACAAATTTACTTAATAATATTTCACAAGAATTTTTTGTGGGGTCCTACTTTGATTTTCGCACAAGGTCTCCGAAATGTCGGAGCCGGTATTAGACAATATTTGTAATCATTGTTAGTATAGGGACTAGAGTATAAATGTCTCAATTATATATCCACCTGATGTAATACATGGTTAACATAATTCACAAGACAATTTTATTTACCAAGTTAACTTGGTATTAGAGCCGATCAAAACAAACCTAACCCTATCGCCAAAAAAAATAAGCTTCCATCGCACAAGAAACATGCATCGAATAAAGATTTCCCCATCTCTCTGGTTAGCACATCTCGTAACCCTACCCTACCTCGTTTTTTTCTTTTTTTTTTCTTTCCTCCATGGATCCTATTACAACGTTTTCTACAATTGAAAAGACTGCTCATAACTCCCATAAATTTGGGTTTACTTTATCTCCTACAAACTATGGCTATTGGAAAACCATGCTTCAACCGTTTCTGATAATGTTATAAACCTTAGAAATTTACTTTAGAATCTTAACATGACAATGTTATAAACCTTAGAAATTTACTTTAGAATCTACTTTAGAATAAACCGTTTAGGATAACATTATAATGTTATAAACCGTTTAGGGTAACATGATAATGTTATAAACCTTAGAAATTTACTTTAGAATCTTAACATATGTTCAGAAATAAGAGGGTTGCCAAGTCACTAAAGCGTGAAATGATCCCCTTATTCACATCCCATAGTTATATATCATGCATCCAAATGAGGTGTAGAAACCTAAACTCGTGAGAAAGAGGTCATTAACCCTTTAAACCTTAGGATCTTAACATATGTTCAGAAATAAGAGGGTTGCTGAGTCACTAAAGCGTGAAATGATCCCCTTACTCACATCCAATAGTAAGATATCGTGTGTCCAAGCGGGGTGTGGAAACCCAAACACAGATGAAAGAGGTTATTAACTCTTTAAACCTTAGAGGGGATTAAGTACCCTTAATCGGATGAGAGATGATCAGTCTCTATTCGTAATCGCTAGGATCCTTGAGTTTCTACATGTTGTAAATGTTAGCTTGGGGGTGGGTGTTAGCTTGGATAACATCCCTCTGATGCTTAAGTTAGTAGTGTTCTTAGAATGAAAATAAACAAAGAAAATAACAAGTAAGTATGTACCTTGACTCGGTTGTGATGAATTGTGACTAAATTGACTTACATAAAGTATGCTTGAAGGTGTATAGCATTTTAGGATCTTGGTAAGATGCTTCCTTTTAGGGTAGCTAGCCAATATGCCCAAATTCTTGCTTCTGAATCAATGATATAGGCATCACACCTCTAAGCATGTAGGAAGGCATCTTTCTTAATGGTTGACCAATAGTATCCTCTTCTTAACGCTTTAGAACACAAGGATACGCCCCTAGTGTGGTTTCCATAATCCCCTTCATGTATGTATTTTAGATCATCCATGGCTTCTTGATCTTAGATATGGACCTGTTATGGATTTCTTGTATAATACTCCATGGATCGTCACAAAGTGTGAGCCTCATCTTGAACACTTTATCGTTTTTTCTTATTTTGGGATTATACCATTCTAGATATAGTCTATGATGGGTTGTATCCAGGATATCAAATGTCTTTGAGGATCCTGATTGTTTGGATCGGGATCCTGTTTAGAGGATCAAGGAATTGGGCCTCCGATTGCTACTATGGTGGCCGTCTGATCAAGGTCTTCGGGGTCGTTTGGTCTCCTGGAGGGATCTTCTATTTCCAGGATCATTATGTGGGTTATTAGGATCCCGTTCTCTGGTTGGATCCTGAGGTAAGACTCTAAGTTGGCTAATGTGTCTTCCTCGGTGTTATCTTCTCTAGGAACTTGATTCAGACTAAAAGCTTCAAATTCGGAGGCTAATTTTTTAAGAGTTTGAAGGTATAGTGCTAATCTTTCGCCTTTAATTACATAGAATCCATTAAAGCGGTTAGTTATTAATAACGAATCGACATATACATAAAGATCCTTAATGTGAAGATCCTTGGCCAGTTGTAGCTCCATGATCAATA